ACAAAATTAATATACCCTTGTGCACAAGTGCGCTCGGGTATAAAAAAGGGAGAATACGATCAACAAAAAAGAAGATACGGACAACATCGCGGCCGCCTACATGTTATGCATATCAAAATAAACAATTTAGTAATGACAAGACTACCATAGAGAATGGTACTGATTATGTGTATATGTATTAATATTAAGTTTAAAGTAAATGTTTAATATTATTGTGAGTATATGTTCTTTGTATTAGTCCATAATTGTTGTCTTTGTTTTTTACAAACACATGTATGCCAACTTTTATTATTCATTTGAACATCTTTTGTTTTTTCGTTGTATTTCTTTGTTGGATTTAATAAACATAGTGGCCCCTGATGATGCTGGAAATTTCAGCGAAACGTTGGGCAACGAAGGTGGAATAAGTGTTTATTTGCACCATTAAATAATAGATCACACCAGCCTACAAGTGTACCAAAAATGTCATCATATGACTTCTATTTCTATTTCTGCGCCAAAATCACTGTTGACCAGTGTTATGTATGTACATTTAATGAATGTTTAGTACTCACGAAATCCAATGTCTCCACTGGCGCACAAACTTTCTTCAAATTAAAATTATATAGATCCTCACTGCAATATTGATTTGTTGGACATGATAATGGATCGGAGGCGACTTCATTTATACATAGAGCAAATTGTGTGGAACTTGAGCAAATCATCTTTCCACTTGCCTTACCCTGACAACTACTGCCACACGAAGCAGTTGATTCGTTACATACAATAATGTTATTGCTTGCAGATGGATCCGACTCACAGACATTATCTGAACTAGTGCAGTATGTACCGTCCTGACATTCATAAATATCATCACCGATGGGACTTACTGTAAAAAAAAAAGAGATGCATGTGTGGACATTTCTCTAATAAATATTAAGGAATCTAATAGATAGCATTTAGTTTGTCATTACTCACAAGTTGTTGATCCATCTTCCTCTGTGCAAATTTTATAGGTTGTATTAGTTATGCATGCAACGTAGTTAGCGCCACACTCCCCACATGTACTAGTGGCTGATGCTGCCGCCACAAAAAGTAAACATAATGCGATAATCTGTAAACAAAAATGGCAACATTTAAGTGATTTTTATCTGTTTGCTTCCTTCCGCGAAGTAGATTTCCTGGATGCCTTTGCAAAACCACCCATCGGCCAGTTGCTAAACAGGCTAACTTACGACACTTTAACTTTACGGGAGTCGGAAAAACAGATTTCCTTTAACGGCCTTGCACAGTGCCGCCTAAGGGACAGTTTTTCAGTGCAAGACTAAATTTGAATGTATTTTAAACTTAATTTAAATGCTCGTGCTAGCTGACCTGCAGGAAATGGGACTAATTTGTAGCTAACTACTAACTAACTAGTAGTCGACTAGTGGTAACTATTTATTAACTATTTCCTTTGGCCGTAACTAACTACTTGTGAAGGGCGATGACCGCGAAATTGTGAGAACTGATTTCCTCTGCATTAGATTTCAACTAACTTGTAGCTAACTACTTTTGGACATAAATTATCAATAAAAAAAAGATTTTCTAAATTTTTTATATTTTTATTTATTTTTTATTTATTTTTTTAACATCACATATTTGCTAATTTGTTTACATGTTCTTTTGTAGGTGGTCTCATATTTGAATTCAATCAGACATAACATTAAAATGATAATATAAAATTTAGTTCTTTATTATACTTGTCCTGAATACGAAAAATAATCTGCGAAGTGCAGAAAAAAGTGTATTCTAAGTAATTTTTGTATGAGCATATTTAAATAGAAACTTGTAAGGAAAACAAACTCCCGATAACGTCTGCATGACGCCTACACGCATTTAGAACTAACTTAAGTTAGTTTTGTCATAGCCAATTAAGACTTAGTTATTTATCGGAATCCCGAAAAAAAGCTTGGAGCTAGAACTTGTTTATTTTAATCAATTGATAATTTTTTTCTACAGGGTGGTTTAAGCTAAGATTAGCCAATCAAATGTAAACACACTGGCCCTAAGTCGACATAAATCGGGAAAATACGTTGTCTGCAATGTGTGAATGTGTTTGGTGTTTCTGTAAACGTAATTTATCCGCTAAAAAGAATTAAACCGAAATTTTCCTATAAAATCAATTATATGCTGTCAGAAAGCCGCTAGGTCAAAAACTTTTATTCGAAGAATTTTAATCAGAACATAGCCACGGGAAGGCTCTTCGCGGAAACAAATATCAGAAATACATTATTTGAAATAAAATGTTGGTTTGACGTTTTTTATTTCCATAAACATATATAGTGTAGAACCATGGTGGTGGTGGGTCCGGATGTACCTAATAATCAAAATAATTTTTCCTTGTTGGTTATTTTTGTTTCCGACAGGGTGGGTGTATTATGTATTTTGGAACGAATTTCCGTCATCCTTTTTTAAATTTGGTTTGGAGACAAATCGGTTACGGCGTTGTGCCATCCTCAGTGTCATGTTTCGTCTCCAAACCAAATTTGGCGGAAACTCGTTCCAAAATACAGAAAATAATTTTGTTGCATTTTTTCCTTCACGCTTGTAATTCACTGTCCTTTTAAACCAACTAAATTTGTCCACTTAGGTATCTTTATAGCGGTAGTTCAAAAACCACATTAAGCACTTTTTAATCTACTATTAATAGCGCATGTCCTATTGTATCACTTTCACTCACTTTGTCAGACATGTTTTCTTTTTTTTACTCTTCTTTAGTTCTTGGTACTTTGAAAAATCTCTTGCTCTACCAAAAATCCTGCGCTTAGCTTAATTTGCTCGAAACTGTTAGCATTCAAAGCATCTTCAACATATTTATATCTTAGTTAATGGTCATAAAACATCATTCGACATTTATCTTTATTATCTGGTACGTTTACTAAACAAATTTATTGAGGTTATAATCTGTATGTAAACACTGTGAATAAATAAGAAGAGATTTATTAGCATAATATTTGTAGATAATATTTGTATTGTACGAATTTCTAATGGAAATGATAAACCAACATCTTTCTTCTTGTTATTTTCATAAAAAGCTATATATGTATAATAACAGACTTTTTTTTTTTATTTTTTCATTTGTATTCAAGCCTGTTCGTTCTTGGGCAAAAGAAAATCAAGCTACTAATAATGTAAATCGTTGGACGAATAAACAAGCTGTGAATGGTCAAATGAAAATCGGTAATAATTTTTTGTATGAAATAGGGACAGAAAATAATGTTACTCATACGCCACATCGTACATAGCTCTGGTCGTTCATACTCATACTCGTACATGGCGTACGTCGTGAACGAGCAACTTTTCACGTAAAAGTGCATATTTCGCATTATAATAGTCGTGAACGCACTTATATTTTTCATATCCATTTTTTGAGGAAATTAGTATTTTTTTTTATAATTTCAATTCGGTTGATTAAAAGAAAACAAACTTAACAAATAATTCTAAAAACCTTAAAAAAAAATAAGCAACAATGATAGACTGCAGTATAGCGGGAGCACCAGTTTGACAGAATAAAACCAAAGATCTTTAAAAAAAGGATGCTGGCTATGTTTGTGGCTCACTTATATTCTATGTTCTTCTTGGTAACTAAAGTGCTGCCGCGTTTGTCCGAAAAAATAGTTTTGGGAGACTCCCTTAAATTAATAAATAAAACACTGTAAATCGGAATTTAATCGGTGCAAATATGAAAAATCGGGACACTCAAATATACATAGGTCCCGACTTTAAAAAAATATTCAGCGGGACAACTCTCTTAAAATCGGTACGAATGGTCACCGTAAGTATGAGTAACATTTTCCATGTTAAAGTTTGAATTTTTTATCATTCGCAATACAAATTCAAAATGAAAATGGTGCCGGAAAAAAATATTGCCACAGAAAATTTTTCGCAATATCTGCAAAGTTTTTTATTCTAATTTATTTTCGATAATTTTTTATAAAAATAGAAACTTTGTGCAAAATTCTGGTAAATTCAATAAATTTGCATACTAATTTTAGTATAACAAATTGATTTTTGTAAATTTATTTCACTCAGGTTCTTCCATACAAAGTATGTTTGACAATTATTTTTTGTATGGAGAAAATGAGCAACACCTTCCACTAAAAAAATTACCAAAAATCAACGCGATTATTTAGATACTTCAAACTTGCACTTTGTTATACTAAAATCGAATGGGCTATAAAACTGCATACTTAGAATTTTTCTACAAAATCTGTATAGAAAGTATATATTTATTAAAAAATATTGAAAATAAATAAGAATAAAAAACTTTGCATATATTGCGAAAAGTTCTCTGTGCCAATACTTTTGTCCGGCACAGTATATGAATCTAATTTGTTTTGTAGCCTTCACCGGGGACTAATCGTACACTTTATCGTACAGAAGTATTTCCGGACCGCTAAGATAATGTACATATCTATATACTGCAAATTTTAACGCAATGATGATAGCTAGCCTATCACATTTTTATGATACTCAGACTCATTACCTTATGATGATATCTTGAGAGATAATTCATTTTTTTTTTGACTTTATTCTTATATCTAATCAACAAGTTCTAGGAAAAAATATTCACAATCGTTAGGTCTACATATGTGCAAAATTTTGACAAAATCATTCGCATTTATAGCCGGTCATGGGCGGTCGCTGCCAAAGTTTTATGGCAAACATGGATATTCTACAATTCAGGGTCTTTTATGAGTTTTTTTTATATACATACAATATTTTCTATACGCAAATAATTTGCAGCAAATCGAACTAGTTAGAAATTAAACCATTTTGAATCGGTATCAGTCCATATCCAACCACTTTCTTTATTTTTTGATGAGTAGAACTTTGCGTACCCAACCGCAGTTCTGCTGGATAAGGTCAACATCAATAAATGATCAAAGTCAACATTTGCCAATTTGTTCGACGATTCATAACATTCTCGAGCCGTTTGTGGGTCGCATAGAAGAGTGTTTGAGGACATTTGTCGCCCCTCATGAAAAAGTGAACCTTATCTTTCTAGCGTTTAAAAAAACTTAATAAGCAGCAAAAAAAGTTATGCTATGTATTTATAAACGGTCGTTTACGCGCTTGCCGTAGAGTACTTTTTTTCTTCACCCAAATGTGTCATACACGGCTGGCAAGAGAGATTTTACCCACAATTAGCTGTGCGCTCAGAATACTTCGTTTCGAGTCGCTTATGATTGCTCTAGATGGCAGGTGTAGAACTAGTTCTTTTATGATACTCTAATAGAATTTTTACAACCACTTTTTACAATGCAACAACTAATTCTAACACTTGCGGAATAAGATTTGTTTACTCAAATCTGTTATAAGGAAGTGAGATTACGTTCAGTAAAATTCCGGGTAAGACTTCAAGGTTCAACGAAAGAGAAAAACAAATACGGAGTTAGTTGAGAATCGGAAATCTTATCGCACGCTTTTTTTTCGGCATATATAAGTTTTTTTTCGTTGCGTTTTATTGTTTCTGCAGTAAATATATATATACAACTACTTAGAAGATAATGAGTTAGATAAAATATTTTTGTTTGCCATAAACCTCCACGGTGTATCTACATATGTAAAATAAGCAAATGTAAAGCAAAAAAATGTAGTGTTAAAAAAATGTTGATCTGTTGATTCACACACATGATTTTAATTAATTTCACAAAGACTAGATCTTCTGCTGTATGCTTAATGAGCTTTACAGCGAATCAAAATATAGCGACTCCGCTGGCTTGGCCATGTCGTTCGAATGGACGCCGACGCTGCAGCTCTAAAAGTAATCAACTCGGAACCCGCCCCCACTGCAATGGAAATGACGATTTCTTTGGGGTAAATTGACGATTTATCGGCAACGCTGCTTGCCACAGCCAAAGATTTGTTACAAATTCATGGACCTCTTTCAGCAGAGTTCATTTCAAAGTGAATTAAAACACATAAAGGATTAATTAATCGATCACATATATTTAAGTTTCGTACTTTAATTTTCACAAAATGTTAATATAACTATTTTACATATGTATGTATGTATGTTTGTTTGCATTATTTTCCTCAATAAATCAAGCTAATGCGCCACATTGCTTTAATGCGCTTCTCTTTAACTTTCTTTAC